AAAAAAACTGTTATCTTTCACCATTTTAACTGCTTAAGATGTCCTTGTCAATTGATTCATACGTTTCTCTTTCAAATATAATTATTAGGGTGTGGATGTGGGGTGTGGGTGTGGGTGTTGATCTTCTCTTCACCCACACCTAACCCACACTTAACCCACACACCCACACTCACCCACACCGACACCCACACCCATACCCACACCCCACCCAGTCACACCCACACCCACACCCTCAGCTGTTCTTTCTTCATCAGCTTCGTAAAGATCGAGATACATTGACATAACCAAATATTAAAACTGGTCATACTCTTGTTAATTGAAATCAACAGTAATTGGTTTCAATTTTGCTAAAAAACTTCGCTTTGATGAACTAATATTTATTCATTTGTCATTATTAAACATTTCAATTTTTAATCCTGAAATATTATTTTCATTTTCCCTTCTTATAATAACACATAATCTGTGGAGTACAATCCAACGAAACTGATTACGTGTTTCATTTTCTTTATCCCTGAAGAACATCTACTTTGTCGTTTATTTTATTTCAAATAATCGAGACAATAAAATCTAACTATATGACGGAATTTTTGTTCTCTATTGTCTCTATGCATCATCCTATATTCTATTCCACTAGGTAACAATGATGGAAAGAGTTTATGTTTTTTTTGAAACTAAATCGAATTGAAATGCTTCAAAAAAAAGATAAAGAAAGTTTCACAGCTTTTACTTTTTTTAAAGACTATGTCTTTATGAGAATTTATTAAACACATTCATGTGGTTGTGGATGTGATTCTTTTCTTCAGAAACATCCGCACCCATCTACACCTTAAATCCTTTTTAAAAAGCATAAAAACATTCGATTAAAATCAAATTCTCATTATTGACAGAGCGCAATAAATGCATTAAAAACAAATACTACATCGATGCTACTCGTCAATTCAACCATACTGGCTGAATTACTGCTTTCACAAATTCACTTATATTCACTTAGTTAATAAATATTCGACCTCTTCTGGATTGATAGTTAAATTAGTCGAACGAGAATATTGTTTTTTTATTTATTTATTCAACATTCTTTTTCTGTGTTAGTGTTCGCATCGATAGAGTTTTGTTTAGTCATCCGCACACAGACCCCACACCCACAGCCTATCTAAATACACGGTCAAAAGAACATTAACACATATAACAACAAGTTCTGAAGAAGGTCAATTCTGTACCGAAATTTCAGCAAATAATTTTAATATCAATCTTAATTAAATTAATTATTAATCGATTTTATCTTTATTTTATTCTATTTATGTATTTGATGTTATTCAATTGTTATATACAATATTAAATATCCAAATTAGTCAGCATTGATGATTGTAGAATAAAATTTAATGAATTTAAAAATTTACAAAAAAAAAAGTCTGTTGCTTACTATAAGTGTTAAAAATTGAAGATTTTCCAAATATGAGAAACATTTATATTAATTATTGGAAGTATTTAATTTTACAAAATATGTCTTACTCACATTCAAACTAAAATATTTTATATTGATTGAAGGTTATTTGAAACACAATCAATATCATAGATTTGTTAATCAATTTACATCAAGATTACGATAAGAGAGAGAGTTTCAAAATATATTGTGTCCCTCAATGTATTAGTGTTGGATACATTTCATCAAAGTGGCATACGATATGTGATACTTGTTGGTTGACGTGGACTAAACCAAGTATTATCATCTATAAAAAAATTTCGTGAACTTTCTAAATTAACTGGTTTACAATGAATCTTAAACAAAGAAGATTTTAATTGAATTGATCAACATATGATTAATAAATTAGAACGACCAAGAAAAAGATTAACCAAATTAATGTTTAAAATAGTTCGAACAAGCTTGTATTTTTTTTTTGTAATTTATTATTATTGAACAATTTTTGGTATTTATGATTTTGGCTCCATCCAAAATAATTGTTGAAAGTGTTTATTTCGAACATATAGAACCTATAGCTAGTTGTGATTTTTCTGATGAAAATCTATCCATCTAACAAAATGGAACTAAAGAAACAAAACCATGCGATCTTGTCATTAAAACTATAGATTATGATGATATCCCAATAAGGATGAAGAGAATCTTGTTTTTTTTCCCCATTGAGATCGAAAATTCAAATATTTAATAATCAGAAATGCAGCAGAGTGAGACGGATTATCTCTATAGGAAAGCCTAGAAATAAACAAGATAGTTCCAGTCCAAGTGAAATGTCTAGAGTAGCCACCATGGGTGAGTGACTATGAATGTCATCATGTATGTGAGAGATAGTATGTTCGAACCTAGACACCATACTCTTCCATACTACGTAGTCTTGGATAAATTATTTAGGACTAGGATGTTGGCTCATTTATTGAATAGTATACTTATTATGTCGTTTCATTTATCTTTGTGATGCTTTCTCGACATGTTGTTTGTATTTATATAGGAACTTCTAGTCGATATTTTCTATGTCAATTGATCATAGGCTGACCAATTTCGAGAAGTCTGACGAAAAAAAAACCAATCACAACTTGGTAAAGAAATTCTAACTATGTATAAATTGAGAATTTTCTTTCGACACTTCTTTCATTTGTAGAATCTTTCTAATCGACATGAAACAAATGTTCGGATTTAAGAAAAAAAATGATGCATTCTTTGTGAAAACTATTGTTTGATTGTTGAGAAGCGAGTTCGTATTCAGACTTTGCTATCGTATCGAACAAACAATCAAACAATGTTTGTTAAAAAAGTATACATAGATTTTTTTTTCTTAGGTATATGACGAGTAAAATCTTTGAAAAATATCGAGCCTGTTGATTACTTGATCATTTTATGACATTTTTCTACAAATCTAGCTTTTCTGATAATAACATTGTTCGAGTCTATCAACAACAGAATATTTTCACAAGTAACTCAACAGACTCTATAAGTCTTTTAACTAGTAAAATATATTTGATTGAATAATCTGGCATGTGAACGGTCTATTCCAAAAAAGGAGGATTTCTGTTTTTTCGTAGAAAATGTATTCTATGCAGCATTTTAAATTATCACGATGCTTTTTTATTGTCTATACGACATTCGATAGATTGCCACGCTTTATTTCCATAATATAAATCATTGATTTTATACAATGTACAAATGAATGAATAATAATTATGCACCTTAATTTAATCATCGCTTATAACAGGAATATCATGGGAATTTATTTTTTTCAACCATGAAATATAAAATCATGTTATATGAAGAGATATTTAACCAAAACGTAGTTATCTAATAATAGTTTTCTTGAAATGATTGGGTATAGTACTCTAATAAAAAAATGTATTTTAATTTTCAAGAAAAACTTTCCTTTAACTCGAGTTTTCAACAATTTCTCATTGTAATCATCAGAACATGACCATATAGGAATGTAAAAAAAAAAATAATATACATATGACTGAATTGCAACTTTTTGCTACGGTTGAATTTTTAATTGTATTTTATCAATAATTTTCGTTCTGGTGAATCGATTCAGACGAATTTTTTACATGTTACTGGTCTTTGGGTATCATACTGTCACATAAAAATTTAGTTCTCTACCTCCTACAGTTGCTGAGTTATAAGGGTTACACTGTCCAAAATCGCATTTTACATATAGATATACCTGAGAAAATCGAAGTTTTTCAATATAAGAGGAAAGTGCAAAAAAAAATATAATGAATAGATCATTTTGTACAGCTTGAAATAGTCTATCACGTTATATATTTATTGTATTTTTTTTTCTTTCTGCATAAGTTCTTATTAAGAACTTGTTGATATGTTGCATAAAAAATTTATGTAATTATAATTTGTTAGAAAGAACAACAGAGGAAAAGAAAAAAACGAAAAATGTTGTATGATTATTGTATAATGTTGTTCGTCAGTTTCTTTTGCTCTTTTTTGTTCCTTCTAATAAAATTGTAATTATATTATCTTTTGATGCTACTTATTAAAATTTATAATATATATCCCATGTGAAAAAAGTAGGCAAAAAAAACAACTTTTTACTACTTTTAAAAGTTGTTTTTAAAGAGTAAATAGCACTTATCAGTGAATCTTTTTATTTAATTTTCATATTTTTTGTGACCAAAAATTAGTATAAAATACTATTGAAAATATGAAAAAGTAATAAAATTTACTGAGAAAGGTGAAAAACAGTATACTTTTTTTACACTTCCAATAACACTTAATAGTATTTTCTTAGTCAAGAAAGTATGAAAATTACATAAAAAGGTTCACTGATAGTGTACTATTTGCTGTTTAAAAACAACAACTTTTAAAAGTACTAAAAAGTTGGTTTTTGCCTACTTTTTTTTTCACAGGAGATACGTATACTTCTTTTTCTATTTGTACATGTTTTGTTGCATGCTGATGACTATTCTAATTTGTCCGAAATTCGAAATAAAGATTGTATTTGTTGAAAATTAAAATACATTTTTTACTGCAGTAATAAACTCAATCATTTCAAATATCTTCTGAACTGTAGAATCGTCAAAGATTTTTGTTTAATAATTGTATTGAATAATAAATCAAGTAATGGACTAGGATCATATGTTGATGTGAAAGTAATAAGAATGAAGAATCTGATGGTGTTATTGTTTCATTACTAGTTACATTAACTGTATACGTCGATTCATCAGCGTTACTCATTAAACATAAAATCCTTCAAATCATTAAAAACATTATTATATATACATTATCTTAATCTTTTTTCTTTATTAATTAATACATAGTCGTACATGAATAACAAATTGTCAATCTTGACATATATAGAATAGATATGTCGATATAAATAAATTTGTATTTAAAACAAGAATATGCATTTCTCGTTAAACAAAATAGCTATTTTTAATAGAAAAAATCTATTTCTACTAGTAACATTCCTTAAGATAAAAAAAGTCAAACGATCCATTTCTCTCTAACTCTTTTCGACTTCTACTTATGAATGAGGATATGGATGAAGCACTTCTCCTTAAAAAATAACTATTTCTAATAGAAAAAATGCATTTCTACTAGAAACATTCCTTAAGATAAAAAAAGTAAAATGACCAATTTCTCTCCAACTCTTTTCGACTTCTGCTTGTGAATGGAGACTTGGATGGAGTAGTTTTCTTCGTTTTTGTTGCTTTTCTCTTGTAGTAATGAGGTCGAATGAAGGTTGTGATTTTGTAAAAAAGCGTTTCTTTCTGACTTTATGTGGTTGAAGCGTTTATGCTAGAAGTGGAGCAGTTTCTCTTCAATAGGGGGATATGGTCCGGCCCTCATTCTTGTAGAAGTTCTTTTATACATCATTCTTCTTTTGCGAAGCAACACTTTTCAAGCTTTGATGCTACATTTGCTAGTTAACAGTTCTAGTGTTACGACATTAATAATAGAGGCACATCGATTTTTCCTTTGTCATAATTTTAACACTTATGAAACGATTGTACCTGAGATTTTGACAAGTAGTATCTTCCAGTAAATTAACATTAGTCGAAACTTTTATTTTCTCTATGAATAGTTTCATAAAACAACTATTAATTCATACTGTCATCTTCCATTCATACAGGATGTTTGATCAGTCTTAAGACTTGACAAGAAATTAGTTCATATGCAAACAGAAAATAATCTTGAACCGAATGTATTTATATGAAGTTTGAGTACTCATTTTGATCTTTCAAATGGCATATTATCAGTTTGGAATGAGCATAAAATGTTGTCTATATTGGCAGCCCTTGTAGATTCCTAAAATATTCTGTGTCGCCTTACAACTCTTTCTAGTAGAAACGTTTTCATATTCAGATAAGAAAAGTTTCTTAATCTTTTTCACCACCGAAGGTAACTATGCTTGCAACTACTATTAATCAATGCGATGAATATCAAGTCTTATTAGAAACTCTCAAGCTCGTACAAAGTCTTCGTAAAATAAAAAAAAAACTCATTTTACCCGCTGAAGCCAGTAATAATTCTCATTAGATTTAGAAGCTTTATTCATCGTATAAGTCATAGACTGAGTAATACTTTTGTAAGAAGATTTTCAAAACATCCGATTTGTCATGCACATAACACGATTGTGTTTCTTGTTTTACTTTTAACCATTGACTGTTAATACTTAAATCCTAACCTTTAGTTCGGTAAGAAATCTTTGCAAGTTTATTTATTGCCGATAAGGACCATAAAATTCGAATGCTTACTTGACAAATTTCAATAAATGATTGAAAACTTTTTTTCTCAGAAAAAAATTTCTAAATACTGTAAAAATAACTCGACTTATCACAAAAAGTAATCGAAGTTTTCGGTAAATTCAATTGCTACTTCATAAATGGAATAGTTTTACCACATAAAATCTTCGAAAAACTATAGCTGAAATCCTCTGACATTAAAAGAAAAAATAATCTAAAAACTACTGTCAAACTTTGACAGACAAGAGGAGGTAGCCCTTCCCAGTCCCTATTCTCTCCACTGTCGATCACGTCATGTTTGATGTTTTTTTATGAATGATATGAAGTTTATTTTAATATAAAATTTGCATACAAATAAAATCTTGAATAAATAATAAAATATTTTTGTAATGATTATTATTGTCCTTTTTCTTCGATCTAACAACTAGTTTTTTCTTTTACTTTTTATATCAATTCAATTTTTAATCGACTATCATATTCAATAAAATCGTTTTAATTATTAACAAGTCTCAAATCATCCATTTAGTTTTATTAATGAATTCAATAATATAGGTTTTGAAATATTTAAAAATTGAAAAAGACGAAAATAAACAACTGACACATTAAATTATGTTAAAACTTCAATTAAAGTCTAGTTAAATCTAGGAAGTTGTAGAGTTTGCCAATTTTCTCAATCGAAATTAAGTTTGTCTTACCAAAGTTCAATCAAAAAAACAAAGGAAGCATCTTCAAACTTCTACTTTTCAGTAGTATTTTTTTTTATCGATGTTTATTTGTTCTCGAATTTAACGTGGTTCATTGATAATATGTAATGTATAGGGTGTAGGCGTGGATGTAAGGAGAAGACCAACATCTTACACTCACCCACACCCAAAAATTTCCAGAAGTCGAATCTCGAAAAGCAAAGCCGATTTTAATGTCATGAGTTTCTTCGCTTTCATATTTATCATCGTTCGATTATTCTTTATAAATAAGAAAAAACACATTTATCGGATAGAACCCGTACGAATATTATCAAAGATGTTATACTTACTATTCATCCTCAAGAAGTTACTTTAAATAAGAAAATTTCTAACAAATATATTTACATAACAAGAAGGTTTAACTCTTTTAGAAAAATCCAACCTGTATTAAAATTCAAAGCATCGAGTTATTGAATATGAGTCTCGATGTATGAGAGAGAAAAGGATGCTATTCTATTTTGTCTCAAATAATTATTTCGATGGTACTATGACTATGACGAACGAACAATCAACGATATAATTAATATGTTCTCAATCAGGATCTATCTTATAGTGTCTTAGTCTTTTAATGACACATGAAAGCAGGATGAAAAATTGAAAAACTGATAAAAAATCTGATCACTTTTTCTCGGACAAATAACAACATCAAATTACCTCAATTTTTGTTTCGGGGGTTAAGAACAGTGTATCAGCTTTTCGGTTGTGACGATATATCAACTCATATTCGAATTCAAGAAAATTTCTTATCTAATTATCTTTTTTCATGCTGCTCGTGTTTTTCAATTCATCGAAGCAATTCAGTATCAACATACTTCGACAACATTTCTAACAGCTATTAGTGATTCCTGTTCCAGATACTTCGTTGTAATCGTTTAACTGATTTACATGGTTTTATTGAAAGATGAAAACGCACTTGCCTATTTTGTGTTATTTTTTATATTGTAGAACAGTGACATAATATTTCCAAGGTATTCTTCCTTGTGATAATCAAAAAAATAGTCGATTTTCAATCAAATTCTTTACATTGATTGGTTAGATGAATTAACGTGAGTGTTAGATTGATTTTAATTTAATATTATCCTTACCTGTTTTCCAGTTTTATATAAAGATTAATTACGGAAATAGTTGTTAACGAATTCTACCTGCATCACCGGCATCTTAACCAAAAGCGAAAGCTAGTACATGTATTTTTGTTTTTCTTACTGATCTTCTTCTGAATCAAGTAATAAGCTTTAGCACATTTTTTTTCAATCAGAGACTAATAAAATCAATAGATGATAAAAGAAAAAGGAGAAAATGAGTTTTTTTATTTTTTAAAGACAAGAAACACTATTATAATATAAAAAAAGAAGATGTATATAACTAGAATATTGAGTCTTTTTCAAAAAATTGTTCATGATAATCAAATAACAATACCAATATGCCATTTATTTACCAAATTCTATTTTAGATTTTATATTTCCTTTCAGAGACAAACATATTGTACTAAAATCGATGACTAAACGAATTGATCGCCAGCTATTTCTGTATCAGGCCATTTTAATCCCAATCCATCGATTAAAAAAGCTCGTGCAAACTTTTGACAATTAAGGGATGATGTCCACCGTTCTTGATTGTTATTATCGGATACTAATTTGTAATAAACAGTATTTGCCTAGAATAGGTCAAAAGAGAAAGGATATTGTTAGAACAGATAGAGAATAATTCACACTTACTAATAAATGAATTAAATTACATCGAATACCAACTGGTATATTTATATTAGCTATTTGTTGAAAAATAGCAGGTGTCTAGATGATAAAAAAAACAAAGAAATTAATGTAAAGAAATAATATAGAAAATAGAAATAATTATAAATATTTACTTGATATTGTATAACATAAGGTGGTATAAAAATTGGATTTAATAAATATTCACTTTCTGTCAAATTTCCAATATAAATAATATGAAGTTGTTTGCGTGAACAAGACCATGGTTCTACTTCTAGACTTGTTGTATGTGGATAATGTCGGTCACCAATATTTGCTTTCACATGCACCATTAAACCTGAGATATTTTGTTCATCAGAACCGCCCAACATATCAATGATAAGAAGCATATGAGCCGATTTTGATGCATCTAATTTACTTCGTGCTAAGTACACATGACTAGCCGCTTGAACATTTATCATCAGATTAGGCATTGACAACGTTGTTGTATTTAATTCTTCTATCAACTCGTAACCCATAATAAATGAAGTTTTTGTTTCAATTTTTGAATATATGAAATTTCTAAAATAAAAAAAAACACCAGTGTAATATATAATGATAGACAGTTAGATAATGCGATTTACATTGATAAAATTTTATTATAATTCTTTTTTCTAATTGAGAGAGTATATGTGATGTACGAATAAATATGTGATGATGATCTCTCTCTGTTTGTCCAACCAATTCAAAATAATACATGCGCTGTTCGAGATAATTCACACACACTTTTTCGTCATTAAGTATAAATTACACTTATCCTCTGTAATAGAAAAGAGGGCGTTCAGTATCAGTGTATTGTAGACACATGCACTTGTATATATTCCAGTTTGAAGGAAAGAAAAAAAATGAATATAAAAATTGTTCATTATTCCGACTTTAAGAGGGTACGATCCGAGTAAAATCGTAACTAACGGGATATTAAAGATGAAATAAATACGCGCCGACTTGCTTAGAAAATTTTTTTCCAAATATGCCAAAAGATAAACAGTATAAAAGTTGTTATAAATAAATAAAAAAAGAAATAAATAATATCATATCTTTGTTATCATTAAACTTGAAAAGTTGAATGAATGGTATCTTGTGATTTAATAGAATTTTCTTAATAAGAATTTCTGTTAGAAATCGAATAATTATCAAGAACATTATTTTCTTCCTTATGGTTTATTTAAAATTTATCACGTCTGGTTTCTTTCAATTTGTCTAAATTATTCATTGTTTCTCTCAAAGATATAATAATTGATCACATTGGTTCTATCCGAAGATATAGACAATTTTCCGTAATATCTTAACAGAAAAATGCATAAAAGAAAATGCTTTTCATAAGACTTATTAGAAATGCTATCATTTGAGCTGCGAATTTCGATTAGTTCTGATCCATATAAGGTTTGAATGGCTCATCAGTATTCTCTTCACACAATTTGTTGATACAGAAAGCCTTAATGAATATTTTTCTATTTTTGTGAGTGAAGAATAAAATGAATTTTTCTCGTTTGACTAATTTTACTGAATACATTGATGATTCAGATTTTAGACGAATATCAACGTATTTAAAAAATGCTCGAGGTTATATACGAAAAGCTTCGTATTTCGTTACTCTTGATATTTCTGGTATAGACATCTTTTCTTTTTTGTCAAGATACCCTAGTGAAACATCTTGTAAACAAGCTCTTGGATCTTGTACCAAGATCTTAATATCTTGTGACAAGATCTCGGTCAAGATCCAAGGTACAGAAATGTAAACAGATCTTGATAATTTAAATACAAGATAATAACGTTTTCATCTTGCACCAAGATCTTGACTTGATAGCACTTGTTACGAATGATTTTGGTATTGCTTGAAGCTAGGTTGTGTCGAATCGTTTAAGAAAACATGATCTTCATTCAAGGATGCTCGCGAAGGATGACGTTTTTGAATGTTTTTCGAACTGACCGTTGGTCTCTAACTTGGCTCCTTGTGTTTGCAGCAGCGATTCGAGTTCAGATTCATATTCAGCGTCAAATTTTACTTCGGTTTGACTATCTCGGTAGTATTTAGAGCCATCCATAAACGACTTTTGGTGGTCATTTTTGAGCACGGATATTTCAGTCAAGATCTTATAGATCTGTACCTAAGATCTGATTACAGATCTTGGTACAAGATAAATCTGTTTACATTTCTGTACCTAAGATCTTGGCCAAGATCTTGCTTACAAGATGTTTGACTAGGGTAAGATTTGATATTCGTTTCGTTCTTCTTCTATTATCACTTACTTTGATATGAAAAAGAAGAGAAGAAATTCAACAAATCATGTGGACACTCGATTTTGAAAAGAATTATTTTTCAACATGGTTTGAGACAGAAGAAATATATTCAGAAAGAGAGATGAAATAAGATACAGGGATGGTTTTTAGTCTGATAATATGATCAAATATCGTTCCAATTTGATGAGTTCTTGTCTTAAACTCTATCGAAACTAAAAATCAGAATTTATAAAAGTCTAGAATGTCATTTGCTTTTATTCAGATGAAACTTCTTCATGCCCATCTCAATTTACAAATCTCAACTGAGTTGTATCAGTCGCATTTTAAAGATTGCTTCTTGTAAGAGATATGCAAATGAGCATCTATCAGTATATAATGATATTCAAAATAAAATTAAAATGATGTTAGTAGTCGAGTAAAACAGAGAAGTCCTTAAGAGAGATAGCTATTGTAGTTCTAAAATGATATTCTGTTTTGTTCGAAAAATTTTCGAAAAAACATTATATTACTAGACAAATAGTCGGTGAGCTCTTTTGTTTTCTTCGAAACGAATTTCTCTTGAATTGATATTCCTTGAAAATCATGTTATAATATTTGAAAATTTCTTTCATATATGTTGCAGTTGAGTTTGGAATCTAGTTGAGATTGAAATACTTAGTTCACTTCGTTTGTTTAAAAATTTTTCTTATACATATTCGAGAAAACATGTTTGTTTCTTATCTAATTTATATTGACTATTACTTTTCGGAGAATAAAAAATATTCTCGTATTGGTATTTTATTGATGAAAAGCCATTAGTGACTCTATTTATTCTTTTCTTGTAAAAGTAAATCTTACTCATCATTTTTCTTATAGCATAGTTTCTATATCAGTGTTCGAGACATGAGGGCATTGAATCATTGGTTGAAACGAAATCAAGAATTTTTGAACTATTTTTTTTTTAAATAGTTCTTTTTGGGTGTGCGTGCGGGTCTTCTCTTAGTCCTCTGTCACACCCACGTCCACACCCACACACACACTCACATCCACAAGTCATATAACCAATCATATTCTTCGCTCTAGTGGTGTTCTGCAGGAATGTTCACATTAACGAGGTTGATTTATGAGATAGGAATCAGAAAAAAAAGCGTTCACTCTCAGAATAGCGGGTGGGATGGCTATGTAAGATGGGTCAAAATTAGTGTTCAGTATAGCAAGTTGATCACATTATCGGGGTGTTCAGTAAGAAAGATTTCACTTTACATTGAGGTGGATTGAAGTACCATTGACCTATACCGATATCCCACAGAAATAGGTTGAACTCTCTAATAAATTTCGTAATAAGCTTTCTGATCTGTATATAAAAAAAAAGAAGGAATGAAAGGTGTCAGTGGGTCGCATATGCAACAGATTTAATAGACAACTTACAAAATTCTAAAGCAGAAAATCTATTTAGAACCGCTCATCTGTTGCTCTTATGGTTAACTACCTGCGGACAGAAAGAATGAACTTGTGGTTTATACCACTAACTTCGTTGACAATAGTCGTTTAGGATATTTTTTGATATATTCGATGGGATTATGTATTCAAAGAAGAAATATGACTATGGTGAGACACATTGCCAACTTTGTTGGATGCACCATTTGTTTTCTGCTTTGACTTTGTATTATTGGCATCTTAGGAGACATTTTATGAGTACATTGAGTATTTTCCACGGAAACATCACATGTTAAAATTTATTTTTTGCTAATAATATCCTCCAAAGATTCGTCATATTTTGAAATCTTGAAATCAAAAATTTCAGCGCTTGAAACTTAATTCTTGTCGAGTTATGTTCCTATCATTCTTCGTACAATCACTCCAAAAACTAATCACTCATGTATCCAGAAAAAGTTTTTCTGATTTTTCTGTTATATATTGTTTTCGATTTTTTTATGTTAAGATGATCATATAAAATTTGTTTACGCTAATATTCAGTTATCCTTTGATTTCTAGTATATTCTTCACAAAGTTCAGGCTTGAATATTATTGTTTCGACTTTTGCGACAATTCTTGGTTAAGTGCCTGTTTTGGCCTCAAAGCTTGGTCAGAATCTACTTTCAAGAATATGGTTATAAAGTACATGAAAAACTGCACTAGAAAACTTGAACACGTATTATGTTGTATTGCATTAAGAAAGATCAATGTTTTCGTTAATAACTGTGTACACATGTTTGGTATTTTTTATTTATATATTGAGCAGGATATTAGATTTCTCGTTACTTGAATATTTGATAGACTCATCGGACAAACTGCAAACTATCAAAACTAGGATCTAAGTTTTATGTAAAGAATGAATTTCTTGAGTGTTATGGCAAAAGAGAGTGGGTGTGGGTGTGGATGTGAAAGGGTGCGGGTGTGGGGTGTGGGCGTTGGTGGAGGTGTGGGTATGGGTGTAGATCTTCTCATCACATCCACACCCACATCCAAAATGCCTGCTTAGCAGACTTCTGCTATTGAACGACGATCTTATTCGACCAGTGCCGAATTCTGCTGTAGAAACTGACAAGTCTCGATCTCTATATGTATAGATCAAGCAGTTTCGTTTGAATTCGATGCTGGCTCAAGTACACCTCATTCTGTCATACCAAAGGAAGATCTCGATCGTCCAATACTATCAAAACTTGAACCGAGCGAAAGTCTATCACTACCATTGACTCCATGACTACTTCAATCGCCTCTTGTTGTCAAACAAATTCATAATATTCACTTTTCACCTCCATATACATTCATATCCAAGATCGATGATCAACTGAGAAATTTATTAGAAAAAACAAAATAATCGAAAATGAAGTTTTATTTTGTTATTATTATAAAATAGATTTTTGTACTTGGAATTACATTCATGTACTTATAGATTAATATTAAAAATAAAGAAAAAGCAAATATTTGTTTAGATATGTTCGAATAAAATCTCTTCTATCTAATCAATCATTATCATTGACATATTTTATTGTTGCATCTTTATTTCCATGATTTTCTTTATATGTATCGAATAGATTTGTTAATGCATCCATATATATTTGATGATATTTATCAATAATTTCCGATGTAATATCTTCTTTTTTTAATTTAGGTAATTCAATTGGTGAACCAACATATGTATCAATTGGATGTCGTTGTGGTAAAAATCCAAATGCATATTGAAAAATACCACGTCCTCGAAAAAATGGTGTTGAATAGCCTAATTTTTTTTGTAATAACATTTGAAATTGTCGAAGTTTTGATCCACGTGGATTAGATATTTGATTATAAAGATCATTTTCACCAAATGAAAATACTGGTACAAGACTAGCACCATGAACTAGACCAATTTTAATAAAACCTTTACGATTTTTAAGAGTTAATATATATTCTGATGATGGCTGAGCATCAAGTGCTTCTTTAGCACCACCCAAAACTAACATTATACTATTACCATTACCTTTTTCTAATATATAATTACATGATTCTTTCGATGCATCACATAAACCTAACATAGATAAATATAAACCATAAAATGGTATACGAAAATTTGATTTAAGTGTTAATAAACGAAGATTGATATTTGGAAATTTTTCTTCAAAACTTGTTCCTTCTGTAGCAAAATTACAAAATGCACCAAGTGATATAATACCATGTGGATGATAACCAAATATATATGAACGATCAGCTGGTAAATCACATGTTTTATGTAAATGAATTGGAAAATAATCTACAATTATATTATTTATTAGAAGAAATAACAAACAAAATTTTTGTACTAACCAGCAAACCATTTCCACCAGGCAAGTCGACGAAACCATTGTTGTCTAAGACCACCTTGTTGAGGATATTTTCGAAAAAGAACCATCCATGTTAAATAAGCAATGAAACCCAAAAACACATACCAATTATTTGAACGAAGTAATAATAATGATATATATAAAAAAAACCATGGCAGAATCCAGAAAACAATAATTGTAAGTGTTTGTCGACGCCTATACAAAGGTGTATTCAATGGAGCAAATGTACGATTAGTCGACGATGGTGAAGGTCTTACCACTGATTGAGTGTCTAATTTTTCAGTGGAAGCTCTAGTTTCATGTGCAGACTCAAATCTTGTCGAAGATGCTGTCGAACGTTGTATTTCTTCAGTCATCACTACTCGCACAAAATGAGATATGGTGTCTTGTGTGCACTTGCGAGCTCTCTATTTGTTATCTGTCGTAAAAGCGGTAACGATACTTGTCGAGAACAAAATGAAATAAGAAAGAACGTAAAAAACTGTTATCTTTCACCATTTCACCTGCTTAAAATGTCCTTGTTAATTGATTTATATGTTTCTCTTTCAAATATAATTATTAATGGTAAATAATAACATTGAACTGTGAAAAATTATAGAGATATTTGAACCAACATTACTAAAGTTTCTCCTAGATGTTCAGTCACGCAAGGATTGTTTCACTTCTTGTTTACATCTGGTATAATGATAAGGTTGCACTCATAATACAGTCAAATTCTAAACATAGACTATATCTCAACGCACTAGGATAGATGAAGATCAGAAATATACTAATACGAGATGAAAAGAATGTTAAATCATCTTTTAGTAAAATATCTTAGATTATTTTCAATATTTTTGCTTAAAATGAGACTAGCACTCCAGTTCGCTTCATAATCTGACTTTTAGTACTCTTTGCAAATATAAAATCCATATTTTTTAAAATAGTAAAATGACAATACTATAACAAAGTAAATGTTTTTCTCGAATAAAATACCGTTTTAAAGTCAAATGTCAAAATATAGATATACTGTTCGAAGAGAATAATTGAAAAAATGTTTATCAGGCAAATTTCTTCTTCAGTGCTTGCTCTTAAAAATAATGAAAAATTCAAATCGATAAGACTTTGAACTGACTTTCGTATATCTATCATATCATTCATGAATAATTAACCGAGAATCTGTATCATCAATTCATTTTAGGGAATATATGCAAAATCTAATTATTTGATGTAAAAGTATAACATTGATAGAAGACAGAAGAACTCATAGTCGTTAGCAAACTCATGAAATCTAGTAAGAAACATAATAAAAAGTTCCTCTCTATCTACTGATGAGACACACTAAGTATCAAACAAGAGATGCCCATGAGTATCCGTTGTCTTAATACCAAGCAAAACTACATGAAGAAAACAATATGCCAAAAATAAGAAATTCTTACAATATAAAATATTTACCTAAAAACATTCTATCTAGTTGCTATTGTACAAACAGCTAATATCGATTGATGAACGATAAATTGATTTGAGTTACTCAGATGAACAAAAAAAATAATAAAGTAAAATATTCTTTGCTTTTACAATTGTCTTTTGCTTCTGAATCGAATAGAAACTATATGTCTTATTTCAGAAATAGTTCTAGAATGAGTTTGTTCTGATGAAGACAGAAGAAAGCTTCTTAAAACAATTTCATTAAACAGCTATAAGGTTTTACTAGAGGGTGTGGATGTGGGTCAGGGGAATTCACAGGGTGCCTGGACACTCTCCTTGGTCAAAAAACGCCTCTAGGGGAGTACGAGTAAAAAAATCTTTTTGAGAAATGAAAATTTATTTTGCTGCCTGTGTACACGGCGCATAATGGATCAGCATCTCCCTTGGAAAATTTCTGGCTACACCACCGGTGTGAGCGTGGGGGTGGGTGTGGATAGAGATCTTCTCTTTAACAAAACCCACACCCACACCATATTTTTTTTTGCGAGAACAAAAAACAAGCATTATATGGTGACGTTTTCTTTTACTCATTACGGGCAACTCTTCATCGTATACAAATGTACAGAAAAATCGAGAGAAAAACTGTTTTTTTGTTCTGTCATCGGCAAAGTCTATGATCTTTTCTATTTCAAAATGAATTTTGAAAAGAAATCAGCTTCACTTTTTTCGAACTTTGAAGGGCTAGGAGATCTAAGAAAAAGCAATGACTTTCGCAACAAGTAGGAGTGAAAGTCATCTTGTCATACGTAAAATGAACATTTAAACTATATAAGCGCATGTTTTCAGCAACGTATATTCATAATCCATTAGGATTACTATATTATACCTGCGATGCTTCAATTTAATTTTTGATTTTGTAGTTTAATTACGAACAGATAAATAGAATCGTCTTTTGCAAAAGAATCAATGATTAAATCAGATTTTATTATGATTATAGTAGGAGAAACGATTTTTCGAAAATCAGTGATAAACTACATTTAATCACTGATTTCGATAATTATTTGCAAATTATCAATAAATTAGAGAAATATTCCGAGATTTGGAAAAATTGATAGTCGCGTATAGTTTCTACATAGTTTTGCAATATGATCATAAAGATTTGAAATCAAAAATAAATATTTAGTTTCTGCACGTATGTCCTTGAACTAGATTGAATAATTTTAAAAAACAAATGAACAAAACTACACATTCTCATTCATTTGTTTAAAAACATATATTTTGATGATAAATATTTTATGTTTAGTTGCATTTTCAATTAAACTATCGTTAATTAATTTGTTTTTTTTGTTGTCCATTCAGTTTTCGATGAATCCTTTATCTTCGATCAGTATAAAGTTGAAAAACTGGACTGTCTTTTGTACAATGAGATCTTTTACTATTATTTTTGTAGTTCTACTTTCCAAATAAGATTTCTATTCCTTTCTCTATTTTTAGATGTTTCGTTGATAAACAAAAACGACTTACACGTTTTAAAATGCGTTAAGGTAACAATTCAATTCAAAACATTAATTTATATATTTAAACATGTTTTTATTATGTGCTTTGGTACTGTGAAATAGTGTAAATCATCAATTTTTAAATAAAAATATTCGTTAATTTAAATTATTAATGACTTTTGAATATAACAGTAGAAATCAAGGTTACATACACAAATTGCTTCCAATTATTATCGATATAAAGAGCGATAACAATCGATTATAAAATCATGATTTATCACAAAAACTGTCAGAATTATCGGAAAAAAAAATCGGCGATTTATCGCCATTCAGCACATGATTATCGGTTCAATAGAGTTAGATAACTTATACCTTTTCGAACAAACAAATGAATAATCTTTATTTTGAAAACTTTGATAATTTAAAACAACAAGACAGACTAGAAAGATTCAACGTAACTTTCTTTGTTAGAAAAACAAGTAATGGAAAAAAATGTCCTTAGGTTAAAAGAAAAGAACATGAGTCAATATTTTGACGAAAGACGAAGTGGGAGAACACATACAAAAGATGAGAAAAAGATGACGTCAAGTAATTATGTGTACACAATGATTCAGGAACAATCTTCAATTGTTTATTATCTAACAAATATATCATGATTCATGACCAATTTATTTTTAGAGATTTTGAGTATATGTAAGTTGTCCATATGAGAGAAAATGCATATATTCATTTGTCATGTGATACGACACAACAAAAGAAAATGATTAAGAAAAACATGTCATGGCGCAACCGCAGAGCTATAAAAAGTAGCTAGTTTCGTTAGTAAACATTTATTAAATTATAATAATATGATTAATCCAGCTTTGGAAATAGAACCAAACGATATTAATACTAATTCGTCATACATCAAGGATTATATAGCTGATCAACAGTCTTTATTTAAATATAACAGTAGTGATTCTAAAAAGTAATGAAAATAATTATTTTTGATTTAGTTAAATATTTTTTTTTTGATAGATCTCATTTAAATGGAATTTCTATGCCAAGTGAATACAAAATCGATCAGTTTAATGATAATCATATTTATGATGATGATGATGAGTTAAGTAATGATGCCCAGGACAAAAAATTTGAAGAATTAGATGATATTGATACAGTTCAACAAATACAGACTAATATGACTGTTCCTTCGGGTGCAGCTGAAATGACTCAACAAACATCCGTTCATCATAGATGGTTTACTTTTCTTTCAAAAATTCCGTTCGTTTCTTGTATTGAAATATATTATTTTCATTTTATTTTTGTTCATTATAGGTTTTTTCATTAATCAGAGAAGCCTAAGAAATCTCAAGCTCGTCGTTTGAAACTATGTGAAATTTATAGATTTGCTGATAAATTGGATATTTTCTTGATGATCATTGGTACAATAGCTGGTTAGTTCTCTTTGAATTTTTATGAAGCACGTTTTAAAAGGAGTAATGAAATATAATAATAAAAATTTGGACTACCTCCCTCCGTATCACAGACGATGACAGACATGAGGAACATACCGTCTCAGACACGTTAGCAATACTTTCCTATATCACATACTATGGATGCGCCAGTACCAGTATTGTACTAGTATACTAGTGCTGGTAACACTGGGTATATCCAGTATTACTTGTACTCAGTAGGATCAGTGATGGAACAGAAACTACTAGCACTTACCGACAGATATAAAAGTGGTACTGACTATCGGCTGATCGACTGATTATTATCAGTACGTCTTACTTATTTTTCTCGTCTTACTATCTCCTCACGATATGTAATGGAACTTTGTTGAAAATTGACTATTCTTGTTTCAAATAGAACTCGACGAGCTCTATCGAATCGTATAATCAAATTTTCTACAGACCAAACCATATGTTCAAAAATCGAAAAATACTGCTTTCACACCATAGAACATGGAAGACTAGAAAAGTAATTCCACCTCCGATTCGTCCAGGAACATCTTCCAAAGTTTCAAAATTTACATTAACAATTTATCTTGTTATTTTTTTGTTCATTACTAATTTTTGAAATATTCTATACTTCTATGTGGTTAATTAATCTATGTACTTGATATTGCGAACAACGAATATTAAATATAGTACTACAGTCGGATTCTCACCAATAATTATCAATATAGAATTATAATACTATAGAAGTGGTATATGACACTTTCCTCATCATATAAAAAATCATAAGAAAACTATTCAGTGAATGATCATTAAAAGTACGAAATGGTTTTAAATGAACAATTTCTATGGAGTAAGAAAGATCCTATTTGTTAACGAGCGCTACAAATCCAGATCTCTTAATCATTAGAAATGGTATGTAGAATTATCATGAAAATAACCATAGCATTTCTAAATCAAGTGTACACACAAAACCAACGTGGATATATAATAAAAACTTTAAAACACTCCAGGTAT